GCCAGCTCTCCCGTTTACTAGCTGTGTGACTTTGCAGCCAGCTCTCCTGTTTACTAGCTGTGTGACTTTGCAAACTCATTTTATCCCAGAGCTCAGTTTGCATTTTCATAAGGAGAACTTAAATAAGACATGACATCAGAAGAGGTACTACATTTTAAAATTTGTAACACAGTGCCTATCCAAAGCTAGATATTCAGCAATTTTTTTCAATTCTGCCCTTTTCCCTTGCACTTAGTACACTGTGCTGTAAAATTGTATTTACATAGTTGTACGTGATGATTTTCAAATAATTATTTCCTTTTGAATACCTTTCCATCTGCAGGACTCAATGCTATATTTAATCTAGAACGGGTGCTTCCTAGATGTTGGCTGAATGGATAAATTCACAAGTGTACCTACAATTGTAGGTTTCTTATGGGCAGAGATATGCTACTAGTTATAGTAGAACCCCAGAAACATGCAAAGCCCTGCATCGAATTCCCTGTACTCCCAGGTTCTTACAGGGAAGAACATGGGGAAGGACGTCTGATTATACTCCCTACTGACCCCTGCTCATGACGATCATCTCACTGGAATTCTGCTTCCTATCTCTAAAGTAAGGCAATCGGGCATCCTAAGTACTCCCTTTTCCATCAGTTATTTCAGCAGTCAGTCAAATAAGGTCTGTTAAATATCCTCAGTGTTAGACATAATGCTAGACTCTGAGGATTCATAAAACCTAAGACATGTTTCCCGCCCTGGAGAAGCGTAGTGGAAGAGGCAGCAGTTGCTCCAGAAAGTTCCACAGTGTTGTGTGCACTGCAGGAGCGGCACAGAAACCAGGCTGGAAGAGGGGGTGGCGCCAATACCCCCTGTGCTGCTGCGTGCTGTCCACAGAGGAGATAGGCTGGACCTTGAAAGAGCTTCTGAGTCTGGGGAGGCAGAGAAGTGAGGGTGCAAGGCGCAAACAGCGGCACGTTAGGCAGCGGGACGGGTATTTTAAATCATTAATGTCAGAGGTGGCACTGGGACGGGTGAGTACCCTGTGTGCTGGGAGTGGGATGTGTGGCCGCTGAGGGCTGGGAGAGCATCCCGGGAGGAAGCCAAAGATGGTTAGGAAATGCCTTTAATGAGCAGGCAATGGAGAACCAAGCAGGGCTTCCAAACAGGGGAGTCAGATCCTCAGAGGGGGTTTTAGAAGTTCCTCCAGCAGCAGAGAGGCTGGACTTGAAGGAGTGCCACACAGGGCAGAGGGGCAGGGCCAGAAGGCACTCGTGACAGCCCAGGTGAGGGGCAAGGTTGTGACCATCTTTTCTTCCCTTTCTTTCCTTTTTGAAACAAGGTCTCTGTTGCCCAGGCTGGAGGGCAGTGGCACGATCATAACCTCCAGTAACCTTCAACTCCTGGGCTTGAGTCATCCTCCTGCCTCAGCCTCCAAGCAGCTGGTGCTACAGGTGCACACTACCATGCCCAGCTAATTTTTTTTGAGATTGAGTCTTGCTCTGCTGCCCAGGCTGGAGTGCTGTGGTGCAGTCTCGGCTCACCACAACCTCCACCTCCTGGGTTCCAGCGATTCTCCTGCCTCAGCCTCCCGAGTAGCTGGGATTATAGGCACTTGCCACCACGCCCAGCTCATTTTTTGTATTTTTAGTAGAGACGGGGTTTCACCATGTTAGCTAGGCTGATCTCCATCTCCTGACCTCATGATCTGCCCACCTTGGCCTCCTAAAGTGGATTACAGACGTGAGCCACCATGCCCAGCCTACCCAGCTAATTAAAAAAAAAAAATTGTGCAAATGGGACATCACTATGCTGCCCAGGCTGGTCTTGAACTCCTGGCCTCAGGTAATCTTCCTGCCTCAGCCTCCCAAAGGATTACAGGTGTGAGCCACTGCGCCCATCGACACTCCTGCTGCCAGCACTGCCCCTGTGTCCATGTCTCTGTACTTCCATTCCGTCCTGAGAAACTTATGCCTTTTTTCGGACAAGCCTTATTCAGTCATATCTTCAGTCTGAGATGCCACTTCCTATCATCTCTGTCACTCAGGGGAATTACAGAAAGGCTTGCTAGCTAAGGCAGAAGTTGTCCCCATTTTGATGTTCTCTCTCCAGCACTGTATGTCTGCTACCCTAATTTTGCTTCCCCAAACTTCAATCTGCCATCTTGCCTGGACTCTAGGACTTGAAGCCACAGACGCTCGAGCTGGGGGAGAGCTGAGAGACCGTTTAATCTGTCCTCCTAGAAGGAGAAAGCTGGTAATGTCAGAGACTTTCCAAAGGCCTCACATGCTGGAGGCGGAACCAGGACTAAGAGCCTAGGTCTGCTCCTCAGCCCAGGTCACGGTGCAGCTGGTGGCACAGACCGCACGGGCTCTCCCAGGACCGCAGCATCACGCTAGTTTGCCTTCTCAGCAGTGGCTTTTTTGAGGGCGAGGGAAATGGGAATTCCCCTAAGTCCCTGGTGTGAGCATGGCATCACACAAACCTCCCATAATAAAATACAAAGAATTACCCGGATTCTCTGGTTTCGTTAGGCTGTTGCAAATACTGGGGTTTTTTGTGTGTGTTGGTTTGGTTTTTGGGGATGGAATCTCACCGTCGCCCAGTCTGGAGTGCAGTGGTACGATCTTGGCTCACTGCAACCTCCACCTCCTGGGTTCAAGTGATTCTCCTGCCTCAGCCTCCTGAGTAGCTGGGACTATAGGTGCCCAGCACCATGCCCACCTAATTTTTGTATATTTTTAGTAGAGAAGGGGTTTCACCATGTGAACCAGGCTGCTCTTGAACTCCTGAGCTCAAATGATCTGCCTGCCTCAGCCTCCCAATGTGCTTGGATTACAGGTGTGAGCCACCGCACCCGGCCACGAATACTGTTTACACTGAATAAGTTTCCTTTGGAAGTGGAGATCTCAGGGTAGTGGTATTTCTTGTGCCATGACTTATCCTAGGCAAATGTGTCTACTGCATATATTAGGTACTTTGAGCATGACTAACTTCTAATTGTTTTTATTATTTATCACTGTTCTCAGTAAAGTAAGACTTTATTACATTGCAAAACAGAATTTAGAAAGAGGCTATGGTGGTTATTTTTATTTTATCCACAAAGGAGTTGCTAATGAAATAAAGAGTTAAGAAGATTGCTAGGCGAACACTTATGTTAATAAAAGAACAATGTGTTCAAGTGCAAAAACTTCAGAAGCACCAATTTATAGACAGACTGCTGTGGATACCTACTCACATGTCTTGTCATGCTGCAGAGGCAGTTCCCCCGGCCCCCTGGGCGCAGTGAACTAAGTGGCATTTGTTAGCCCAGTTCCAGCTGCGCTGTGCATGCGATGAGCATCGCCATGTGTACGGCATCAGGAACTGTGAGGGTCCACTGGTAAAAAGACACCCACCTTTAGGGAACTCACAGTCTGGTTGGAGTGGTCTAGGTATATACTTGACAATAAAACTGTATTTATAAAAGACAATTTTTAACTTAAAAAAAAAAAAACTGGCCAGGCGCGGTGGCTCACACTTGTAATCCCCGCACTTTGAGAGGCTAAAATGAACGGATCACCTGAGATCAGGAGTTCAAGACCAGCCTGGCCCACATGGTGAATCCCTGTTTCTGCTAAAAATACAAAAATTAGCCAGCATGGTGGTGCGCACCTGTAATCCCAGTTACTTGGGAGGCTGAGGCAGGAGAATCGCTTGAACCGGGGAGGTGGAGCACCACTGCACTCCAGCCTGGGTGACAGAGGGAGACTGTCTCCAACAAAAAAAAAAGCATCCTTCTGACTTCACTAATTACAGCAGTTTTCCCTATCCTTTTTCTTGCAATTTCCCAATTTCTTACTTAGCTAAATTATGAAATACCTATGGAAATTTTTCCATTCATTCAATATTTATTGAGCATCTGCATAGGCGGAGATATAGCAGAGAAGTAAACAAAACCCCCTGCCTTCCTGAAACTTACATCATTTGTTCTTTTTTCTACAGATACGAGATTTGCTGTCCAGAACCAAAAAACCTGGTGGGCTCAAAGTAAGGGAAGACCAACAGCTGGGCTTCTATGTGGAAGGCCTGAGTTGGTGCCCTGCGACAACTATGCCCACATTGAAAGGCTGATGGAACAAGGAACAAAAGTCAGGACCACGGCTTCGACCAACATGAACGCCAGCAGCAGCCGGTCCCACATGGTCATCACCATCCAGTTCAAGCAGGTGAGAGCCGAGTGGACGCCGCCGTCCCACTCTCCAGACAAGGCTGCTCTGAGGAGGGTTCCCCATGGCACAGTGGGCTGGCGGGCATACAGGATCCTTGCAGATTTGACCTGTGGATTAAGGTGGCTCTTTCAACCACAGCACACAGGGTCAGAAGCAGGAAGAGAGGATGTGCGTGCTTTCTCCTGCCTCCCTCCCACCTCAAGTCACACCCCACCCAGCCTAAGTGAGCCTATCAGAGCCCCACGGCGCCCATAGGACTCAAAGGTGTTTTCTCTCAAGTACATTTCCAGTGCTTGGAGGAATAAGCTTTGTCCCCAGTTTGATCAAGGAGCATATTGTGAAGGTATGAGAGTGTCTCCGTGGTTTATCCTGGAGAGCTGTATCGGCAGCACGTCTGTGCATTACCAACGTGAGATCAGCTTTCAGACCCACGAGCCTGAGAACCGCCAGGTATAGAAGTACCCTTGCCATGTGTAGATGCACCAAGATACGTTCTTTGGAACCAAGCAATGCATGTAGCATTCCAACAACTCGAATCTTTGATCAACTAGAGCCCACTTTGACCCTCCATACTCCTTGGTGGACATCAGAGAGTGATCTCTACATTGCGACCAATCTGATCTAGAATGGTTATTCAAAATTCCTGGGTCACTGTTACATTTAGCTATGATCCTACCACCTCTGTCCCCTAAGTAATTGTTCCAGTAATAGAAAAGCAATCAGTGAAAAGAATCCCGTTCTATGCAGGAGTAAGGGGAAAACACGGGACTATGTTTAAGTCTGGTGCCCTTGTTCACTAGCTCTATGACTTTGGGAAATAATCTCTGAGCCTTGGCTGGGCACAGTGGCTCAAGCCTATAACCCCAACACTTTGGGAGGCTGAGGCAGTTGGATCACCTGAGATCAGGAGTTCAAGACCGGCCTGGCCAACATGGTGAAACCCTGTCTCTACCAAAAATACAAAAAAAATTAGCCAGGCATGGTGGCAGGCACCTGTAATCCCAGCTATTCAGGAGGCTGAGGCAGGAGAATGGCTTGAACCTGGGAGGTAGAGGTTGCAGTGAGCCGAGATTGCGCCACTGCACTCCAGCCTGGGTGACAGAGCAAAACTCCGTCTCAAAAAAAAGAAAATCTGAGCCTCAGTTTCCTCTTTTGTAAGATGAGATGAGAAGCTCTCCTTGCAGTAATGTCAGGGAGCTTGAATAAGATACTGCATTTTAAGGAACTCTGTAAACTTTTAAGTACTACTCACTTGATTTTACGATGTTAGTAAAATCCATAAACTTTATATATGGTTTGCCCTGCTGTTTTGTTCTATCGCCAGGCTGGAGTGCAATGGCGCGATCTCGGCTCACTGCAACCTCCACCTCAAGTGATCCCCCTGCCTCAGCCTCCCGAGTAGCTGGGACTACAGGTGATGCCACCACTCACAGTTACTTTTTTGTATTTTAGTAGAGACAGAGTTTCACCGTGTTGGCCAGGATGGTCTCGATCTCTTGACCTCGTCATCCACCCGCCTTGGCCTCCCAAAGTGCTGGGATAACAGGCGTCAGCCACTGTGCCTGGCCTACCCTGATATTTTTTTAACTTGATATTTTAGGGGCAAGAGAAGAAATCAGCTAGAAAAAAAGGAGTGAAGAGAGTTAGCACCATACTGTGTATATTGGGGTCAGTAGTAATATTAGCACTTGGTATTGCATGCCAGGCATGTGCTAAAGCATGACCTCTGTGGTCATCAACCCTCATGAGCTCTCAGTAATGTGTTCCTATCACTGGCTTTCAACTGTGAGAGTTGCAGCTCTGAAAAGGTAAGTCATTTGCACATAGTCATGTAGCCAGCGAAGGAATCTGTAGGATTCTAAAGCACTATATGACCACACGGCCCTGAACAGCTACTTATGTTGCAGATTTGACAATGTTTTATATTTTAAGAGTTTACTGGTCACAGAAATAATGGAGTACTAATTGGTATCTATTGTTTTATTGGAAAAGAGATTAACAGAATTGGGAAGAGAAAACAGACTTTTTTTGTAAAATGTCATTGTTGAGAATAGTATTTTATATTGCATATTTTATGTTTCTTGAGTCTGAAATGCAATTAAAAGAACCACTTAAGTCCAGGTGCAATGGCTCATGCTTGTAATCCCAGCATTTTGGGAGGCTGAGGTAGGTGGATCACTTGAGGTCAGGAGTTCAAGAAAAACCCTGGCAATGGAAATAGAAACTTCATCTCTACTGTAAATACAAACATTAGCCGGGCATGGTGGCAGGCACCTGTAGTCCCAGCTACTCGGGAGGCTGAGGCAGGAGAATCGTTTGAACCTGTGAGGTGGAGGTTGCAGTGAGCCAAGATCATGCCACTGTACTCCAGCCTCAGTGACAGAGTGAGACTCAGTCTCAAAAAAAAAAGAAAGGACCACTTAAACATGTCAGTGAGGGTGATGGCCCATGCAGCCTGCCACTCCCTAATACTATAGCCTGACCTGTGGTGCTTTTCTCCAGGTTTTCCTAGACAGAGACCTGAGCAAACAATCCAGTATTAATTTGGTGGATCTAGCAGGAAGTGAGAGGCAGAAATCTTCAGGATCTGAAGGAGACAGACTGAGGGAAGGATCACAAGTTAACTTAAGTTTAACCAATTTGGGAAATGTTATCAGGTAAATAATCAGTGACAGGTATTTGTGTTGTAAAAATGACCTCAGTGTGAAAAACTAGATTAATTATAACCCTCAGTTCACGATCCACTGACATCACTGATTCATGCCTGGGCTGCCTATAGATTTTATTTCAAACCAATTACTTTATTTTCAAATAGAATAACACTAATAAAACTGCCGTCCAACCCAAGAACTAGTTGGTGTTCCTCTCCTATTCTCCCCTTGGAAGTAACATCATCTTGAATTTTATGTTCTCTCTCTCCCTCACTCCCTCCTTTCTTGTTTTATCACATGTGAATATTATTGTTAAGTAGCTTCATTTTTGACCTTTATAAAAAGGGTGAAATTGGCTGGGCATGGTGGCTCACGCCTGTAATCCCAGTACTTTGGGAAGCCGTGGCAGATGGATCACCTGAGGTTGGGAGTTCAAGACCAGCCTGACCAATATGGAGAAACCCTGTCTCTACTAAAAATCCAAAAAACTAGCCAGCCATGGTGGCAGGCACCTGTAATCCCAGCTACTCAGGAGGCTGAGGCAGGAGAACCACTTGAACCCAGGAGGAGGATATTGTGGTGAGCCGAGATCGTGCCACTGCACTCCAGCCTGGGCAACAAGAGCAAAACTCCAACTCAAAAAAAGAGGGGAGGGGAGTGAAATCCCATTTTGTCTTCTGGAACTTTGGAACTTTTAAAAACTTTCTCATTAAGGTATAAATTGTAGTAAAGTCCATAAATGCTAGCATTCAGCACAAGTTTTTGTATATGTATATACCTACGTACTTATCACCCAGATCAGACTATAGCACATTTCCAACACCCAGACAGCTCCTCACATGACCTCCCAGTTGATACTGCCACCAGAAGACATGCACCTTTGTCATCACAGATTAGATGTGCCTGATTGTAGTGAATTTCGTATAAATGCAATCATTTATATGAGGTCTGTCTTCTTTCACTAAGGACTGTGTCTATGAGATTAATCAAAGTTGTTTCATGTAGCAATTATTAGTTATTTTTCATTGCTATACAATGTATCAGTGTGTGACTATATCAATTTATTTATCCATTCTCCAATTCATGGGCATTTAGCTTATTTCCAGGTTTGGGCTATTAGAAAGTTGCTGTGAACACTTTTATACATGTACTTTGGGGAAAGTAGCCAATCATTTCTCTCAGGTATGTCGGCAGGAGTAGAACTGCCAGGACTTGCTTTTAGAAACACTGGTAACCGTGTCTATCCACTCTATATTCCACCTGATGTGAGTTTTTCATTCTTTCACTAAATATTGTGTCTATGAGATTCTTCCAGGATGATGCAGGTAACAATTTTTATTTTTCATTGTTGCATAGCATTCTAGTGTAGGAATATGCCACAATTTATCCATCTTCTTGATTGGTATTTTGACTGTCCCCAGTTTGTTTTTTGCCGTAAGCAGTGCTACTATAAACATTCCTATGCAAATCACTGGGTACGAACAGTCACGTGTCTCTTAATGATGGGGATATGAGGCCGAGGTAGGCACATCACTTGAGCTAAGGAAGTTGAGGCCAGCCTGGGTCACATGGTGAAACCCCATCTCTACAAAAAGAGTGGAAATTAGCCAGATGTGGTGGTGCCCGCCTGCAGTCCCAGCTACTCAGGAGGCTGAGGTGGGAGGATCACTTGAATCAAGAGGGAGAGGTTGCAGTGAGCTGTGATTACACCGCTGCACTCCAGGCTGGGAGACACAGTGAGGCCAGGCTCAAAAAACCAAAACGAAACAAACAAAAAACCAATGGGGAAGTGTCCAGAGAAACGCATCAGCAGGCAATTTGGCTGTGTCCATCGTAGAGTGTACTTACACAAACCTAGATTGCAGTGCCTACGGAACACCATGGCTGTATGTGCTAACTTAGGGCTCCCACCTGTACCTACACACAGAACAGCTTGGAACTGTGATGACACCACAGGCAATGGCTCCCCCCTGTACTCACACACAGTACAGCATGGGACTGTGACGACACCACAGGCAATGGGTCCCCCCTGTACTTACACACAGTACAGCATGGCACTGTGACAACACCACAGGCAATGGCTCCCACCTGTACTTACACACAGTACAGCATGGAACTGTGACTACAACACAGGCAATGGCTCCCCCCTGTACTTACACACCGTACAGCATGGAACTGCGACGACACCACAGGCAATGGCTCCCACCTG